CTGGCAGGCACCGAGTTAATCATCTGATACAGCACTTGTCAATGAAAGCGCCTGGAGCATCTAAATCTTTGCAGAGGAAACTGAAAACTACAATTAGGTGTCTACAGTCTGTTCTGTAGCTCACGTTTATTACCAAACCCTGTAAAATAACTTCTCTTTTATAGAGTACTATTTATAAAGCATGTGGAGTGGTTAAGTCAGGATAAAAGCTCTGGGGAATGGTATTTGAGGACTATCTGAGGAAAACATTCCTAGAGACTTCAGTCTTAAATGTGTGCTTTTTGGGAGACCAGTGAGAATTTCTAACTTTTCAAAGTTATTGGAGAAAGAATAGGTTGTAAGAACAGTAAGGCTGTAATTTTAACCCCACAACTGGGGTTAAAATCGCATTTAGTTTAGAAACTTCTAAAATAATCTCAAATGAAAACGTATCAGTTTGTATATTACTAGATGAATATTGAAGAATATATTAAGATGCAATATGAATCCATTTTTAAGGCTGTTGGTTATCCCTTTATTGTGTTTAGCAAAATATAGCAAACACCTATTGTCTGACAGAGAAGCTGCTGCAAATAGAGAGGGAAATGTTGGCAATGTAAAATAATGGAATGATGACAAAAATTCAAGTACCAGTCCCCTTCCTTCCACACTCAAAAGTCTGTACTTGTGAAGAAATGTTCTCCCCACCATTTCCCAACTGGCGTTGGCCGAATGCCAAGCCTAAACCAAACCAAAGGAATGAGCTTAACAAAGGTATGAATATGCTCAGACAAAAAAAAATCTAACACGTAACTATTTTATGTGATGTTCTTTTAATTAGCCATATTCCACTAAGCCTCAGCTTTAATTTCATAAGCCTCAGAATCCATTTCGCTTTGGTGAATCCTCCTCCCCCTCAGTAATTAACTATTTAACGGTGATTAATGAAAAAAAAGTCAAATTGCATATTGGCTTTATCAGCAGTGATAGCTAATTAATTAATCATTGGTTCTGTTTAAATTGGTTGAGTATTGTTATTATGAAACAGTATGCAATCAGTCCAGAGTTAGCTTTCATTTTGATTTCTATGTGCTCACCAGAACGCACTCACATACCTGCAAATGACCACATTTCGTCTAATGATAAAAAATCCTTGCAAATTATTCATATTTTTTGTCTTTTACTTATTTTCAATCATTTAGAAAGGCTTACAGCAGTTAAATTCAACAAACTAAAAAATACCTAATGGAAAAACTCCTAATAAGTGGAGTTAATGCTATACAAGTAAAGAGTAATGATAGTAGCTCATGACATCATATTTGAGACTACAAATTGGTATGATGATGATGGAGAAAAATGCTAAAATTTATCATGTTTTGTACACAGTCTAAATCTTACACAGCATAAATCTTATCTTTCCTTCTAAATTGTCCATCTGCCCAGTATGTTTACAATGTCCCAGACCAGTTCCTATCACAACTAGCAAAAATAGTGGGACACGGTATGAAAAGCATTTTATTTTAAACAAACACATTTTATTGACATGACCTGTATTTCCCATGTCAATATTCAGCAAGATCTTAGAAAATCCAAGGCCAGGTATAATAACGAGGAAGCTACACAAAGAGCAGGGGAGCTGCAAATTCATAGGCAAAGTGTAATAAAAACCATTTAAAGACATTACTGTAGGAATCAGAAGGGACTGAACATGTCTTTAACCTTAGAACTTCTCTTTTCCTAGCTCTTAAAATACCATATGAGTTAGAAAAAGATATCCCTAGGGGTGCAGTTTCATCCTACCCAGTTCTAGGAATTCAGGATCGTTGGTTTTAGTCTGTTTCTCCCATAGGGGAGGGAGTGAGTCAGGCTCCTTCGAAAAAGGGTCAATCCCACCCAAGGTCCCAGCACTCTGGTGCTTAAGCCTTGCAGGTGTGTAGTTACCAGCACCTGTGTTACCAGCAGAAGTAGGGAGGTGATTGTGCCCCTGTACTCAGCACTGGTGAGGCCACACCTCGAGTATTGTGTCCAGTTCTGGGCACCTCAATACAAGAGAGATATCGAGGTGCTGGAGCAAGTGCAGAGGAGGGCAACGAAACTAGTGAAAGGCCTAGAAGACAAATCATATGAAGAGCAGCTGAAGGAGCTGGGGCTGTTTAGTATGAGGAAGAGAAGGCTGAGGGGGGACCTCATCACTCTCTACAACTACTTGAAAGGACACTGTAGAGAGGTTGGTGCTGGTCTCTTCTCACAGGTAATTAACGACAGAACAAGAGGGAACGGCTTCAAGCTCCAACAGGGTAGGTTTAGACTGAACATTAGGAAGGAATTTTTCACAGAAAGAGTGGTTGGGCATTGGAACAGGCTGCCCAGGGAGGTGGTGGAGTCACCATCCCTGGCTGTGTTTAAGGGCCGTTTAGATGCGGTACTGAGGGATACGGTGTAGGGGAGGACTGTGTAGAGTAGGGTAGATGGTTGGACTCGATGATCCCAAGGGTCTCTTCCAACCTGAATGATTCTACGATTCTATGATTCTATGGGGACAGGGGGTCTCTCTGAATCCATATGGTGACACCTTGTGCTGGGAGGGATGTGGTGGTGCTGCACCCACCCCTGGGTAGGACCTCATGCCCAAAAGAGCCTTGTGTGAAGGCAATTCCCTGGGAGCCAGATGTCCCAGTTCAAGAGATAAAATGCCCCAAGAAATGAAATGGAGGGACACACCTCCAAGCATCCACAATTCAGCAGGTATCTGTCAGACGCTAAAGGGGGCTACAGGAGAGACAGGGAGGGACTCTTTATCAGGGATTGTAGCAATAGGACGAGGGGTAATGGTTTTAAACTGAAAGAGGGGAGATTTAGATCAGATATTAGGAAGAAATTCTTTACTGTGAGGGTGGTGAGACACTGGAACAGGTTGCCCAGAGAAGCTGTGGCTGCCCCATCCCTGGAGGGGTTCAAGGCCAGGCTGGATGGGGCTTGGAGCAACCTGGTCTGGTGGGAGGTGTCCCTGCCCAGGGCAGGGGGGTTGGAACTCCATGATCTTTAAAGCCACTTCCAACCCAAACCACTCTATGATTCTATGACTCACACGTGATGTCTCACTGCACGGCCAGAAGCGCAGTCTGTATATTCCATTTTCAAAGTACAGCAGGACTCCTGGCGGTACCACATACACCACTGTACTGTTAGCACTCTTGTTTTGCATTTTTCAGGAAACCCACTGAACTCTGAACTAAGCCCTGCTCTCGCACAAGAGACTGGAGTTTTACTTGTCCTTTTATACCCCGGTCGTTTCAGTGCCTGCAGGAACTCAGTGGGAGCCACTGACTCCACAGAGCTGATCAGTGGCATTTTGCTTCGCGCAACACAGCAGTTCCTACCTCCCACTGACTCAGGAATTGTGCTACTACTACTTTCTTCCACGCTCCAATGTAGATGTAGATGTAGTCTGTTCCCTACTCACAAAGCAACTACAGCGGAGAGATGGATAAAATGATACTGAAACACTGAACTAAAAATAAACCTTGCTCAGAACAGCAGTTCTTTTTTTCTCATTATGGAGATGAGCGTGCTGGTTTGTGTTTTGTAATATTATTTTAAAAGACGTGCATGGTCTGCTTTACAAATATTGCATTCTTCTGATATCATTATCAGCCAGTAATCTATGGATAGAAAGACATCAATTCCTCCTACAGCCTTCAGTACTGTGGAACACTAAAACAATTTTGTGAAAGTACTGTAATGTCTGCTGGGTTTAGTTGAAACACTTAGAAATAGATTAGAACTTTTCTCTTCTCTGCTTCCCTAGCATTATTTTTATCATTTTTTCCTTCTGTATTTCCAAACGGTCTCTTGCACTAATGCGTTTCAAAGGCATTTAGTTATGCAGCCCTGTTTCAACTCTGCAAATGGCCTCGCTCGCGACTTCCCATTATCGGCAGACACCAACTATTTATGTTGGATAGATCTAATTATGAAATGCCAGCATTGACTAAAATCTAAGGCCAATGTTAGTTTTCAAATAGTCAACAACTACTTTTTTTCAACAGTGCATTTTCCTCTTGTCGTTTGGTTTTGTTTGTTATTGGTTGGGTTTTTGGTGTTTTATGCTTATTTTTGTTGTTGTTTGGTTGGTTGTTTTGGGGTTTTTTTGTGGAAAACCAGCAGAATAACCTCTCTTATTCATTTCTAAAGTCCCATTCAGTTCCTCGTTATAAATTCCAGAAGTGAGACAGAACGCAATGGTGGAAAGACTGTATCCCACACAGTTTAAAACAAACCAAGAAAACATCTTATTTGGAGGTTTATCGTTGAGTGCGTGAAAAAATAAACACAACTATCTCTTGAAGAAAGTGAGAAAGCGCTCTCATTATTAATTAGGGTCCACAGAGGAAAAAAATACAGCCTTTTACCCGAAAGGTTATTTACCGTGTTCAGATGTGATGGTGTATTTGTGAGAGATTTCAGTACTGTATGAGTGGATTATCTGAAAAAGAAAATAAAAATTGGAACTAAGAATTAACTTTTTATAGTTGTATTTAGAAAAAAAAGGATCACGAATGGGAATGCGGGCCCATCCCTGAAAGCCAAACTTTTGTCACATAAAAATAAAAGCAAAATGGAGTACTTCCCAAATCCCGTTTTCCCCAGGAAGCTGTTAAGAAAGAGGCCAAAAAAAAGAGTGGCGGCGTCACCTCAGAATTTACCACCCTCATTCCAACCACAAACATGTCAGGTAGGTTGAAAAGCAACAATCACCCTTTTCATCTAATTTTTGCTCTTTCTTCAGCAAGCACCGGAGCTCTGATTAGTTGAAGGCAGCGCCTCAGCTCCCAACAACCCGGGAGACCCGCCACCACAGCTTCCAGCCGGGCAGGACGACGCCAGGGCTGACCTGGGGGCCTGGCCGCCATCTTCCCTCTGCCCGCCCCCGCTGAGGGAGGCCGCGGCCCCGCCCCACGCTCGGGCCGCCGAGGAAGATTGGGCTCTCGGCGCCCCGTAGTTTCCCTGGTAACCGGCAGGAAGCGTTGCCGGGCACCGACCTGCCCGCTCCGCGGACAGGCCGGGGGGTGTCGGTGCGGCCGGTAGGGCTGCGTCGGGCCCTCAGGGGCCTTGACCTGGGCTTCCCCGCGAGGGAGTGGGAGCTGTGGGGAGTCTGTGTGAGAGCCCCTTGTCGCTTTGTTTCGTCTTGCGCTCCGGGAGAGCCGGCCCTTCCCCGACGGCGGCAGCAACCTCGCCTTTGAAACCCGACTTACTTCTCTTCGGTGACTTCCAGCAACCAGACTGCAGGCCACGCTTCTCCTCCTTTGAAAGACGTCTTCTAAAGGTGCCTTTTCTGTTCCTATTTAAGGATTTCTGCCTTTTGCTTGAAGTCTGTCGTCTGCCAGTGGGGTGGTTCTGTGTGGAGTCTCGTGTGTCCCTGGTTTGATCCCCAGCTGCACTCCTGCTGTCTGATCTCCCTATGACTCTCCTAACTCTTGACTGCACAAGAACTTTCATCCTCCTCTGAAGGCTGAGACCTCCTCATGAAAAGTCCTTTTTCCCCCTCTCTGCCAGCTCCTCCTCTGTCAATATATAGGCAAGTTATTTCTCAGTTGTTTTTTTACAAAACCTTAACTCCTACCTTTACTTTTGACCCAAAGGGCTAATGTTATTCCTGCCTGTTGTCACACCTTTCACTGCTTACGTTCTCAGATGGTACAACCAGGAGCTTTTCAAAGGCATCTAGATTTTGTCGTTAGTTAAAACCCTAGTAATGCCCTTGGCGTATATCTGGATTACTTATTGGAAGAGAAAAAAATGTGAATACATCTGAATTACATCGAAATCCTTTGCTGAGAAAAATGTTTATGTTGTTATTAGCGAGATGACTGTTCCCATTATGAGCAATTGTACATTTCAAAGGTTGACACTGATAGCACTATTTTGTGATATATAATGCTAATGTCAAGAACTTATCTGGTGTTTTTATATTATAAAACCACTTCGATTCTTATTATTCTGATAGTTAGAAATGTGTTTTCTAACTGTAATGTGATTAGACTATTGTAATAATCAGCTGGCACTCACAAAATCTGTGCATTTTCTTTCTATGTTACTGTTTGTCTTTAATTAGGGCTTCCAATTATTTCTGGTTTTAATGATTGGCATTTTTCAAACAGCATAGTTCCCGTAAGTGTCATTTAAATTTTTGTGTGCTCTGAAGAGACTTAATTGGCTAATTGTGGTATGTTAGTTCCTCTTTTAAGAAGACTGTCACTGGAGACAGGCCAAGTTATGAAAATGGGAGGAAAGAGAAACCAAAATGTACAATGGGAGAACTGATTTGAATCACTAGTTCTGCTTAAATCATCAATCAAGAAGTATTGATTTAAACTTTAAACTTTAGTTTTGCTTTGTATTTGTATTTTAGTTAATTTGGTAATCATTACAGTATGTTGTTTCTCAACATTCAGTAAAACTTAGATTTCTTAATTCTTTCTACAAGTCATAAGGACATAGCCTATCCACAGAAGTGCTGGGGTCTTACCACTTCTTACTAGAAGCAGAAATAATCCTAAAGATTTAGACATTTAGATATGAAATGCTGTTCTAGTTCCTGATCCTGATCTCAGTATTTGAAGTTTAATCACGTTGTGGACAAAAACAGGTGTCAACAACTTGTGAAAGGTAATGGCTGGATAGCAAGCACCTGACGCATCCTTGTGGCAATGTTTTTTTACGTGTATTATTTAACTGATTTCCTGTTGTTTTAGTTTCTAAATAGTGTCATTTCTTGTTTCCTAAAAGAATGTAATTTCGTATTTAATAAACTGTTTTCTCCGCCCAGAGCACACCACAGCATGTTACTGAACATTAATAATATTCAAAACTAGCATTTTCACACTTTATAATTTTATTAACATTTTAAAACCTAAGTTTCACCAGTAATAAGTTTTATTATTCATCATAGCATCAGGCTTGCTATGTTAAATATGCAGTAGACCATTATTTTTATTAGAGACATTTTAACAATTGCATACACGTGTAGTAACATGTATGGCTGGTGCATTAACATATAGAAGATGTATGTACCTAAATCAGTATTTAAGGATGTATACAGAAAGTTATTTTTGCATTCTTTTCAACAAAATACTTTCATTCTTCTCACTGGAATTGGAATTAATTTTCTGCGTTCTTTCTTAATTCTTTTTTATTGAATCTGCTTTGGTTCTTGTGTCCCGAGTCTACTTGCTCTTCTGTTCATTCCTTCATCCTGGTCGTTCCTCAAATTGTTACTGTCTTCTGCTCTAACTGTACCCAACCAGCCTGTTTCCCTCAGGGCTGTTCCACTGAGCACTGTGATGCTGCTCCGATTTCTGTTGGCTCCCTAAGGGCAAACTGTACCTAATTTCACTTTTGCTGCAGGTCTGAAAGTACAGAAGTAAAAGGGAGCAGCGCCAGATCAGGAAACATGTGCATTTGAAAGATGGAGTGACAAGAGTGTCAAAATTATCCCATGCACTATGTAGGCTATTTAAGAATAAACATTTATTTTCTAGTATTTTTCAGATTTTCTTGTTTGATTGTTCATGCTAAGGGCAAACTGTACCAAATTTCACTTTTGCTGCAGGTCTCAAAGTACAGAAGTATAAGGGAGCAACGCCAGATTAGGAAATGTGTGCATTTGAAAGATGGAGTGACAAGACTGTCAAAATTATCCCATGTACACTTTTTCAGATTTTCTTGTTTGATTGTTCATGTCAGTCTTTGGACCTGGGGACTCTAACCCTTGATATTCTGTCATGTAGGAATGAAGATTATTTTATGTTTGTAATCTCTTTCTCTTCTAGGAAATAATGTTCTAAGAATGTCATCTGGCATCCAAATAAAACCAAAGACTACAATACAGAAGAGCAAGACATCTTCTCCTTCGCCATGTTCTCCAGAACCTGCAATTAAACCACAGCCAAGGCCTAGTGACAAGCTGAATCCTAAAACTATTGATCCGGTATGTGCAGGTGGTGGGTTTTCTGTTTATTTGATTAAAACAGGTATCTTTTTGGAAGAAATTTCCTTTATGAAATACGTGCAGGACATGCCTCTTCTGGTCCTGTTTTGTAAATTTAAATTAAACTTTTGTTATGAATCATACATTCCCTAATTTCTAAGCTCAAATGCCCGAGGCTTAACGTGTTTATTACTTTTTTAAAAAAGGGAGTTTGGTACAACTGTGGCTTGCATGGTAACTTTTTTATTTTCTAGTACTTCTGCTCTAAAAGGAGATTTAGAGCTAAGAGTTTAAAAGGGTTGGGGTTTTTTGGTGTAGTTATAAATTTTGGCATGTGCTGCTTTAGAGGAACTAACTGATCTCAGTTATGGAATGAAACCAGAATCTGGTAGCATCTTGAAGATCATCAAGACCTTATAAAATCTAGCAAATTAATTGCTGGTGAGCATTACTTGAAGTTCCCAAGTACTGAGAAGTCCTGCACCTGGAGAACTAACTTTGCATGGGTGATTTATGGCTCACTGGGCCATGTCAGCCAACCAATTAGTAATGTCACAGGCTTTTTGGAAAACGAACTAAATGCAGAAGTACTTTGATGAAGTACTAGTTTGCCATAAACAGAAGCTGAATAATTTCATTTGGGCATTATTTTTCTTAAAAATTTTTTGCAAGTAATACAATGACTTAATTAAGCCAAGAAGTCATCAAATCATACACACAATTTTAACAGTATTAGTGTACGTTCAAACACTTGAAAGAAAAAAATTAATATTTCGTGGTATTTCCTACTGTATGTTTTGTGATAAGATTTTAAATCTGGGAAGTATCATTGAGTGATCATGCTAATAAATCATAGTTCATATGTATAAGAAGGATGTATATGATAAAAAGCAACTTTGTGCAGACTTTCCTCCCAGCTCCCAGTTCCCTGCGCCAGTGAGTCCTCCCTAGATTCTCACCCAGTACAACTTTGTGGAGACTTTCCTCCTGTGAAGATCCCAGTTCCCTGCACCAGTGAGTCCTCCCTAGATTCTCACCCAGTATGAGCCTCTGCTCTGATTTCCAGTGCCCTCATGCCATCTTACCCAATATTTGTTGTTTCTCCCACATCTTGCCACCTTGTACTTCTGTCAATACTCAGATCAAGATGGAATTGTAGTAAACCTGCCTTCTCCATGTTACCAATATAACAACAATAAGAGCATCAGGAAGGGGAGAGATCCTTAATCTGTTAAGGGGAGAACCCATAAGACTTCAGTGTTAAGATTTGCAAGAGAAAATAGAAAAATAAGGGTATTCCATCAGGAGAGCACTCATTCTACGTTATTTATTCATTTTTACAACTTGCTAGCCAAACAATTCTGGAAAGCGGTTTTCTCATAAATGTACCAAATATATGTTTTCCATCCCATAGTGTGGGGGGTTTTTTTTGGTTATTTTTAGAATCATACGACTAAGTTCCTTTTTTGGTAAACTTCAGTTTTAACATATTCAAAATAGTTGCCAAACATTACTGTTATGAATAAATAACGCTTTCTCTTGTTTATTGTCCTCACAGTTTGGTGCTCATTCTCGACCACCTTCTGCATTTGCTGCTATATACGCTAAAGGGGGCATTCCGTGCAGGTGTGTTGGTTTTGTTTGTTTCTTTACTATGTTATGATTAAGTAGATTTACACAGGTTGAAATCCATCTATTCATGTTTGATCTTTTAGTCAGGCTGTTTGATTCCATTCATTTTGGAGAAGATTTCTGATATTTAACTCTTTCAAAGCACAAAGCAATTTTCCATGTCTTTGAAATTGTCTTCTTTTGAGTCTTTTTTTCTGCTGTGTTAATTCTGAAGCTGCATTTTTAATGAATAGCTAGGTATTTGCAGATTGGATTTATTCTTTTATGGAAGAAGTTGATTTCTTCATGTAATGGCATTTACTTCTCCCTGCTAACAAAGATAATAAAATTCATGCCATTTCAGTAAGTAGACATCATGCAGTCTTTTTTTTTTTCTAAAGTAAGTAGTATGACATTTTCTTGAATATTCCAATTCTGTAGTTCTCAGCAATACCACATATTAACAAAACTACTTGTAAATAATAGTTATTTTGTGATTTGTGGTATTTTAACTTTTGTCAATTCTATATTTGCACAGAAAAGAAGCACTTTAGTGTTTTGTCAAGTGAATGCAGAACTACTTAACAGAAATTTAAGTAATCATTAATACATGTATATACATGTATAAAATAATCATTAATGCATAGTCTTTATCTGTATCTTAGGAGTAACTGATGAATTCCAGTATAATTTTCTTTCAGTTTCAACTGCTTTCCCTTAAAAAAAGCTATTTGAGGAAAATGTTTCTTGATATTAGTCAAAATAAGTAACTTTGCAGAGGAAGTAACTTCTGTGTTGGTATGAGAGGCATCTATATTTTTTATCACTTTTAGTTTCTCATTTCTATGTGATTGGGAGCAGAACTTTGAAAACTGCCATACTTGGGAATCATGACAAATGCACTTTTAAATCCCATTATACAGCATTATGTATTGGAAATGTTTACGTACCATTATAGTAATATTGCAAACCAATTGCGCACTGTTAAATCCCATACATTTCACTAAGGAACGCACTATGTATTGAAAATGTTTATGTACCATTATAGTAATATTGCAAACCAATTGGTGATATATTTAAAGTGGTCAGTGCTAGCCATAAATTATATATTATTATATGTTAATTTGTTAAAACTTTACTCTTTATGTAGGTTAATGCATGGCTCAGTGAAACACAGACTGCAGTGGGAATGCCTTCCTGAAACTATTCCCTTTGATCCTCTTCTTGTGACGCTGGCAGAGGTAAACTCAATTTTATTGCAAAGTTAAGGATATAGGATTTCCTAATTGCAAATGGTGTTTTGTAGCAAGCTACACTAGTTAACTTAGACTCACCTCCTAGGGAAATATGAAAAAAACATTTGTAAGCATCTTTTATGAATGAAGATGATCAAGGACATTACCATTTGTAGCTCTTTAGTTTGAGCATTCTGGAAGAGCTCTTTAGTCTTTGAGATACTGGCCAAATATAAGACTGCATCTCAGATTCCCAGCTGTTGAATGAAACACTTCAGTCCATTTGTGGCTTTGCAGGTTCTTTTGTAAACAAAATTATTTTGATTCTTTTTGTATATAAAGCCTACCTATTGAAGTAAGAGTGCTCTCCTCAATAGGTTAAACTAATAGAGTGGAAATAGGTTCCTGTAAATAAGTGAAAGAGAAATACTATACGTTATGTTCAGGCTTCTGTTTTCCCAGCATAATCTGTGACATTTATCACCAAAAATTTTTCAGGAGTGTAAATATATGTTTAATCCAGTGTGGCAGATGAAATAAAGTGCATACTCTATCTAGAGGTGCCTTTTTTTCTGTTTTCTGACATTAAACAAAGCTGTCAATTCCTAAAGTAACTTAGAACTCCCATTACAAAAGGAAGACTTCAGCTGTACAGCTTTAAACCTTTGAGTTCTGCCAGTCAGGTCTTCACTAGAAGTGCATGTTTGTAGCAGCTACAAGTTTTTGGTGTTGCAGAGGTGTGTGTGTGGTGGGGTGAGTGTCTTTCCTTCCACAGTTCACCTTTCTTTTTTTTTTCCCTTCAGGGTATGAAAACCATTTACAAATACAGCCTATTCTTGTTCATGGGCTTGTTGAAAAATTACATTGGGTAGTTAAAGTAAAGGTATTGAAGTACAAACAGTGATTGAATTGGCAGTAGTCATAATGTGACTTTTAATATTCAGTGTTCTGAAAGAAAAATGAATAAGGATATCCTGTAAGCAGAGTTGTACACGATGGCTCCACATGGTGGAGTCAGTGTATTTTATGTTTTGAACTGATATAACAAAATCTAAACATTATCTTGCAGCTATGTGGAACTTTTTAAATGTGTTCTTATTTAAAAGAAGGCTCGCTCTTAAGCAAGCATGTTTTACATTTGCAACAGGGTCTAAGAGAGACAAAACATCCCTATACATTTGTTTCAAAGGAGGGTTTTAAAGAATTACTTCTGGTCGAAGGTGCTGCTGAAAAAGCCATTCCCTTGTTGCCTCGTCTAATTCCAGTGTTAAAGGCTGCATTGGTAAGTCTTACTCTTCATGCAGAGATTTTAATGGGCTTGATGTTTTGGGTTTTTTTCTTTTTCCTTGTGCTGGTGCGGACTACACGAAAAATATTAATGTGACAAATCTATTGCATGGGCTTTAGTTTTGGGGGTTAGGGGTATGGGGATAGTTTCTTTTTTTCATGTTAATCCTGCCTTGGTTTTATTAGCTAAATATATATTTAACTGTAAATTCAGATGGGCAACTCCTGGTATAGCTGTATGTCAGTAGCTATGGGGTAAATTCTGTGGAAATGGCCTATTAAAGATCTGAATGTAAGCAGAAATAAATATATGGATTGGTGGTGCCTTTATATGTCCACATAATAACAGGCAAAAAAGATTAAGATGGAGATGCAAGAACAAACACTTATCTGTTAAATTTAAACATTCAAAACGTGCTACAAAGATAAAATAGAATACGCCAGTGAGGAAAAGGGAAGAATATAGTTAAAATGTTTGAGGTCATGTTGTTATTTTTTAAAATGTTTAGAAAATGTTCATAAAATAAAGTGAGGTAAAAGTATTGGCCTCGAAGGTACTCTGTTTTCGATCTTTTTTGTACCTTTCAGAGCCCTTTTCTGGTTCAGCCACTTGCTGTTCTTTAATCTGGCTGTGTTTCAGTTCTGGTTTTATGGAGGTGGCTGAAAGTTTGAAAATTCTTTGTGATCTCAGATTTGAGGTGTAATAGAAGATCAGAATTGTGTTTTATCTCTGGTTTAGTTTGGAAGAGAAAATTAGAAAAAATTATTCTTGTCTGTTCTTTCAATTACTGTTATTAATCTGATAATTTTGATTGTTGCACTGTTCTGGTATAAAGTCTTCTTAAACCTTCTACTACAGAAGCAGTCAATGACTTCTAGTTAAAACATTAAGGGCCCAAATGTCAGAGTGGAAAAATAACTGTTTAAATAAAGGTCAGTATTAGTACAAGAACAAAATAAATTGTCATGAATCAATTTCTCTGCTAAAGGAAGAGTGAAATAACTAAACCATTAGAGAATTGCTGTTCTTTAATCTGGCTGTGTTTCAGTTCTGGTTTTATGGAGGTGGCTGAAAGTTTGAAAATTCTTTGTGATCTCAGATTTGAGGTGTAATAGAAGATCAGAATTGTGTTTTATCTCTGGTTTAGTTTGGAAGAGAAAATTAGAAAAAATTATTCTTGTCTGTTCTTTCAATTACTGTTATTAATCTGATAATTTTGATTGTTGCACTGTTCTGGTATAAAGTCTTCTTAAACCTTCTACTACAGAAGCAGTCAATGACTTCTAGTTAAAACATTAAGGGCCCAAATGTCAGAGTGGAAAAATAACTGTTTAAATAAAGGTCAGTATTAGTACAAGAACAAAATAAATTGTCATGAATCAATTTCTCTGCTAAAGGAAGAGTGAAATAACTAAACCATTAGAGAACTCAGGTATAGAAGAACCTTCCCAAGGGACTAATAAAGAAGACAAAGCACCTTAGAAATAGATAAGAATCTGATAATTGCTGGCAGGTGACAAAGCTGTAGCTGGCAGGGGACTAAATTAATTGAGCCAGAAAGTCATTGGCTCCTGTGTTTCTCCAACAAAGACAATTATTGTTATGAATTACATACAAATTTAATGAAATCAGTAATTTCTAACTGAAATGTTGTCTGCCAATTTCAGCATATCCGCATTTGAAGGGTTATGTCTCATATGCTGTGAAATTGTAGATGTAATAAACTGTTTTGCCTGCTGAATTTTTTATTTCATCAATAATAAATTATCCATTTCCTTCTCTGAGAAGAAATGCAAGAGTTTCACTGACATTTTGTGGACACTTTTGTTTTCTACTTTAAAAGTATACTTCTGTTTTTAATTGTTACTTCTAGATAATAATATTCAGTCATATTGTACTTGTATTTTGGAACTTGTAACATTATAACAGCTAGCAGTCGCATAGTAGTTTTAATTTTTAAAAATCCTATATACATTCATAATGTAGAGATCATAGTTTTGAAGAACTTGTGCATTTGTCTGAATATTACTGACAGGATTTTCTCTTTTCTCCCTCTGAAGGCCCATTCAAATGATGAAGTATTCTTAAGGGGATTGGATGCTTTAGTTCAACTGAGTGCTGTTGTTGGCCCATCTCTTAATGATTATCTTAAGCATCTACTCACAAATGTAAGTTTTTTAATGCTGTGGTAAAAAATCATCTCTATTTTTATGGTACTTTTGTTGAGATGTTTACTATAATATCTGCACAGATACAGTGGAGGACTCAGCAGTTCCATGAAAAGCATTACTTCATATATTCCTCTATGTAAGTCCATCATTTTTTAATATGGTGACTTATAAAGTTCTAGCAAGGTCCAAAAGCTGCTGTTAATGTCAATTGGAGAATAATGGAAGTGTTGTCTACTAGTTAAAAAAGATTCAGCTTCAAGCTTCAGGTGAAATAGATGCTCTGTTTTGAAGGGAAGTTTATGTTTATTGAAAAATGAGTTTTGCATTTTGTGTGAATATTTAAAAAAAAAATCTGTGCAAGTTTCGAGAAATTAACATAAGCAAATATTCCCACTTCTTTCAGGTGGAAATTCTGCACAAGGGAGTTTTCATTAAATAAACTCAGAGTGGGATTGTAGAAAGTGTTTTTCTACCGAATGCTTCTGTAGACATCCTTCCTCCGTTAGACTTCTCATGGGTTCATTTTGCTTGCTTCAAAGCACTTTTGTACAGCAAAATAAAAGGACCTTTTAGACATCCAATGCAGAAGAGAGAAATTGCAATAGTTCTTTTAAAGTATTTCCACTATAATAAATCTCTTTCGGTGTGTGTGAAAAATGTTTTAACTTTTAATGTGGACAGCACTTTAAGAATCAATTTTTTTTTAAGATTGATAGCTCTCTAAAATGTGTTTGCTAAAAGCCAAAAAATTAAAATAAGTATTTTTTTGGCTAACAGTTGTGCTTTCTTTGAATTTAAGTTTCTCATCAGTTAACATTTTATTCCTTTTGTCTTGACTGAGTTTCATCCTTTGACGTGAGTTAGAAGCTATAAAGTGATGTTTCTTTTAGGATTTAATTTTCGAAAGACAAGATGAAATAAAGTAATAAAATAGAATTGTATTGGCCTCACAGCATATATTGTATTATATTCTGCAACAAACCTTTTTATTTTTCTGTTCCAATAGCTTTCAAGGAGATTAATGGACAAGAAATTTAGAGAAAAAATTACTATTGCTTTACAGAAGTTGGAGCAATATGGTGGAAAGGTAAGTTGACCAGATGGTTATTCTCTAATCTACATGTATGAATGCAACTTTGCCAAAACATCATCCATCTCTGGTTTTCAGACTAAGAACCACATTCTGAAAACTGCTTATTTTCATGTCACAACTATTCATATTGCATGAAACACAGAATTTTGTACAGCAGCAGTCAGCACAGTTAGTAAAATAATTCTTTTAGTCTGAGTGGTAATAGAAATGACATTAAATCTACTCTGGATGATCCATATTCTTCCAGTTAGGTTTTGTTATCTCCCTTTTTTTTTATCATCTCCCACTTTTCATTTGTATTCTCCATTGTTTTAATTGCTGAGTGGGGAATACAGGAGTATGTGTCTCGGTAAAATATTCCAAGGGATCCATACCTCCATAAGAAGCCTCATGGCTGGGGTCTTACAGCACACCAAGCCCCATTCAGGAGAGCTCTTTTTGGAGCAAGTGTGCATCTATGTAGATCCTTACCCGTGATACTTGCTTGCAAGATTTTATTGTCCTTGATGGGAAGCTTATGCAGACTTAGTGATTAAATGAGATACTACTGTGTTTTTGAAAATTCTCCATTTCTCTAGAAAGTCTAAATCTTTTCACTGAATTTCACTGAATTTTCACTGAATTTCTAGAGTTGGAAGGGACCATAGAGATCATCTAGTCCAACTCCCCTGCTGAAGCAGGATTGCCTAGAGCTAGAGCATGTTACTCAGGAGCATCCAGGCAGGTCTTGAAAATCTTCAAAGAAGGGGACTCCACAACCTCCCTGGGCAGCCTGTTCCGTGAAGAAGTTTCTCCTCATATTTGAGTGGAACCTCTTATGTTCCAACTTGTGCCAGGGTTTGAACTGATGTGACAAATGGGTTAGTCACACAGGGTAAAATCCAGACTGCCTAAATCCTAACTCTAATTTTGGCATTGCAGCACTTAGAGCACTTAGAAAGTAGATGCTTATGCTGAGTAAAGCATGTATGCTTCTTGTGGAGGCCGTAGAGTAGGCTCAATGTCTATGAAGAGAAGAACAGGAATTCTCCAAATGTCAACTAGTAAATAGCTTCTGGATCCTTCTGGGGTATTGACACCTGATCCAGGCTGAATATTTGTCTTCAATATGCCTGGGATGCAGGCTTCCTGTTCCTTTTTCTGAGCCTAAATACTTTTCTCAACAGGATTTACTCTTGCTAAAAGATACTTTATGCTGTTATTGATGATGCCTGCCCATTCCCACTAATAGCTTAGTGTTTGGGTTACTTAGTGAGGAAATCAGATACTCACATTCCAGCCCATGCTGCTTAACCCAGAGGTTAGATCTGCAATTGCAATAAATGAAAGAAAAAATGCTTTAAGTACTAGATGGCAGAGTATTCTTCTGCTGAAGTAGTCTTTTGTTGCCATTTTCTGTTGTACTGTACATTGTGCAGAAAGGAGGAGAGAAGAAAAAGTGAGAGAGTAATGGCTTGGCTATTCATCTAGAAGAGAAAGTATTTGCTTTCTTGACTGTATGAACACTTGCATGTATTATTATAAATAGCCATTGGTAAAGAATAGGTTACCTAAAGAGTAGGGGCCATAAGTATAGGTATACTAGTTCTGAGCTTGTTTGCCTTAATCAGTAGGCACCCAAAGCACCACTTCTTTTTTTTAATTTTTTTTGTGTGCTTATCTTTATTTAAGTGCAGTAGCAGTTTTCATATATTACAGATTTGAAAACATCATGACAAATAAAGAAGCATGAGTTTTTTATTTATATGTAGTGAGATAAGAAAATTGTCATTGTGATGTTATGAAAATTTAGCTCTAGATAACGTAACTAATCCAGTGAATCATTAACCTCTAATTCTCCTGTCTGTTCCCTGATTTCTTGTAACCTTACCAGTTTAGCGAGTAGGTCTTTCTGTGTGTCTTTTAAAAATACAGTAATGAGATAAAGCAGAAAAACCCAAAACAAACTCCTACATTGTGATTACAAGCAATACTATATAACCCAACTATCGAATTTATCAAATTTCTATTCTAAATGAGTTATAATGTATATGATTCTTACTTTTATTGGAAGGTCCTTCCAGAATATCATTCCTCTATTTAAAAAATTCTTATCACAATGCTCCATTTTTTCAGATCGTTATTTTCAGCCCGTTTGACAGTAAGTTTCTCAGCAAATACTTTTTAGTTTTCTACTGTTTGATAATAACAAAGATAACTAAGTAAGAGCTGTGAATTATACAGTTTATAGAGACTATATGAATACTCTCATATGTAGTGCTAGTGCTCCTTATTTTGTTTAACTTTGTTTTATTTTCATCAACAGGCATCTGTGGCTATCATCAAATCTAAAATTCCAACCTATTGTTCTATCTCCTCTTGATCAATAAAACTATAGTCATTTGTACTGTAAGGTGAAGTTTGGAAAGAAACTGCCCGTGACCATCACTGACAGTTTGGGTATGGTATATTCTCTTAAATTAATCACAATTCTTCAGTATGATGAAGAGTGGGAAAAGTCCTATCAGTTTGTAAATATGTAATTATGGAAGGCTATTTAAAATATTTCTTTCTGTATTAGCTCTTATTTGCATATGCATTGTGCTTACAATATGTCAACTATCTTTACTTCAAAAGCAGAGTAAGTATTGATTCTTCTTTTGTTGCAAATCATAATTTCCTTTAATAGATCTGAAATACTTAATATGCTTTGTACGTTGCTGCGATGCAAAATAATTTAGCTGTAATTACTTAAATAGTGACTAATTTGGTGTTAAATTGCATATGAATCCTTGCTTTTGAAACACGTAACTTAATGCATGCCACAGGCACAGATGGCTGCAGTTTGGTTCATGAGGATGACTGGGTTAGATGTAGAACTATGAGAACTCCTCTGGGCTTCTGGAGAGTCAGCTTTTAAAAGTCTGAAGTGAATGCACCAAACAGGTAGAGTGTGCTGCAACACTGAACTTGCTCTCTGTGTTCTCAGCATGTTTGGAGAAGCTGGAGAGGCTCTGGAGAACACAGTGCAGAGGCATCAGGTTGCTCCATAGAAGCCAGAGCCTAGGTTTTGCTCAGCTGATTAGTTCCAGTTGGCTTTGGACCTGAAGTGTGAGCTAAATGTAGGAGGCAACTTAGGAGTATTTACACCAGGCTCCCATTGTGTTGAGTTCTCTAATGCCACAGAGTCTAGCTTGTGAATTTAGCTCCAGACAAGCTAATAAACTTCTGAATGGGGAAGCTATGAAAAACAAAAAAAAAAAGGCCATAAGAACATCACAGAAGCCAGCTTACCTGGCTGTCAAGTCTTGTAGGGTGCAGTGTTTGAACCTGATTGCGAAATAATTCCTACCAGGTCTTGTAATAGGTACTGTTCAGGGTTCATGTTGTTATGGGTGTTCAAGTTACTCCGTGAGGGGGAGCTGACTGAAGTAACAAAATTTGCCATAGAAGTTTTTCCCCTGAGGAAAATTCAATTCCAGAATGTAAAGTTGTTGGAAGGGTGTTTTTGTTTTCTTTTTCTCATGGAAAAATGCTGTTGCGTAGGGTTTTAGAAAAATCTGTCATGTGAAAGCAGTGTCATAACTCTTGGAAAACTACCACTGTTTGGCTAAATTAAATTTACTTCAGGACTGTGCTAAGATCTCTGCTGAGATCAGAACTGTGCTCAGTCACAATACACGTATTTAAGCTTTTTAAAAAAATTACATCTGTTGGCAAAAATGTTTAATTTTAAGAAATACAAGTATTTGTTGAACAACTCAAAAAAATTGATCATGCTGCTTGTTTTTCTTCATGTTTACTTTATTATTATTATTTTTTTACAAAATGTGCACATTTAGTTTACACAAACACACTACAGCAGATTTCAGGTGTACATGTACTGTACTACTCTTATCCTACACTGGTGATAGCAGAGCAGCCTTCAACATGCCTCTAACAACCCATCTCTACACCAGAATAGATACCTGATTTATTTTTGCAAAAGAACACTTGCAACATTCCTTCTACTTCATTAATCCCCTTTCTGCAGCAATGTCACAAGATTGGCCTGTCTCTGATAGCATTTCACCTCTTTTTGAAGTATTGGCATAAACTCTGTGGACAATATATCTTAAAAATTACATGGATGGGGGGCAGTACTATCTTTTAAGTACATAGATTTTTTTTGTTTGTTTTTTAAAAGTTTCTAGGTTCAGAATTAAGGTAGCTCCAATCTTAATGAAGAAATGATCCTAAAAAAATGTAATGAATTATCACGTACAGATGATATTTTTCTGATTGTTTTTTTTCCTGTTTCTGTGTCCTAATAGAAGATACTACAAAAAGCCTGTCTAATACTTCTAAGTGGTAGATGTTACCACATACTGATACTTACTCTGAGCACTGAAGTGGGATGGAAGTTTCAAAAGAAGTTAATGCCTTTTTCTTCATTAAAGGCAGAAAGACGTGTGTTCATTAAAACAGTGTCAAGAGCCAGTTAAGATTTCTTCATGAAAAATTAAGAGTCAGAAGACCCTTAATTTTAAGCAAAGAACTTTGCAGACACATCCTAGAAGAATTAGAAATACAGTATGTAGGACTGTTCATGTGATAAATTAAATGCAGATTTACCAGGTAAGTGTGATTGATAGAAGCTCACTTGTATTTGTCAGGGAGTAAATCTACCTGTGAACAATTTCTTTTTTTGTTCTAGAACAGTTCTTCCCCTCAAGTTACCTATTTTCTTAGGTTTGGGGTTTTTTTGAAGAGAAAAGCAAGTCAAAAGTGGAAGGCAATTGCAGCAAGATGTGCATTGCACATTGATTATAGCACTTTAACTCGAAGTATTATTCCAAAAATGAGATCTACACCATACAAATGTGGAAAAAAAATACATGGTAATGCCTCTGTATAAATTAGAAGCTAAGATTTAAGAAATACACTTAAACAACCTGGAGCTTAATCCAGTACAAATGAGTAGCAAAACTAAGAGTATTTATTTAACCTCTGTGTGATAGTATCTATTTTATCTAGGGGTTGGAATGATGATAAAGCTGCATACTGTCAAGTCTTAACTTTGTTTCTGACTTTTCAGAACATTCTTAGTTAACTAAGTAGCCACTGTTGAAGTGCTAAATTGTATAATTTAGAAAGTTTTTTTGGGGGAAAAGTTTATAATAAAAAATTTATTTGCATAATACATGTCTCAGTGTAAAGCTGAGTAATTTTATTTATGATAAAGTGGGAAATCCATCTTTTAGATAATGTTGCAGAATAGCTCATATTTGTCCATTAGTTGTAGACCTAATGTCTTCATTAAATCACATTTTCAAAGAGCTGCATGGATCGCATTATATTCTCATCCTGTAAAAAAAGACAACAAAAAACCAAAAATCACACACTGTTACAAATATAGTTGGCAAATAGCTATAGTGAAATTGGGTAGAACTAACTGTATTTTAGTTAATTACAACATTATATTTCAGCTTGTTTGGAGAAATCGTTAGTAGAAAAAGGCTGTTAATAGATCTATCCTTAAATAGATTTTTGTATGTATTAATTAAAAGAAGCTATTCTCTCAAGAATGCAATAGCATGTTTAGAAAATGTAGTCTGCATATTTCAGAGGTTATAAGTTTATATCCAGTGTAACAAAAAAAACCTATTCTCTCCAGAATGTAATAGCATGTTTAGAAAATGAAGTCTGCAGTATTAAGGTTATAAGTTTATATCCAGTGTAACAAAAAAACATGCAGTAGTTATTCCTTGAGTATTTATATCTGAAGTGTGAATCCATACGTGAAATTGCTCATCCTGTGTATCATACGCAGGAGCCTTTTTGGAAGTCTAGGGCATCCTATTGCATAGTTAGGGATGACTCTACAACAAAATAGATTTAAATGTGCATCTTTGTATGAACTCTTTGAAAGCAGTCAATTCTGTAAATATCACTGCGACATTGCCTCCTCAGCTCAGGTTTTTGGTGTGTTCCCAAAGAAAGGTGCTGACTGCTTTCCAGCGCTACTTCTGCTTTCTGATGGCTTTGCATGAAGCAGGTAACAAAACCTTCAGTTCTGCATAATGCTTACTGTTGCATCACTCTGTATTCCAGTTTTTATCAGTAAATAACTCCCAGCACAGCAGTCAGGAAAAAAATAGGGGGTTCTTGTAACATTTACCTTACCTGTATAGAAGAAAATTTACTTTCAATAGCCTGTATTGTGGCACTTCTGGATCAGCAGTTGATTGCACTCAGCACAGCAGTCAGGAAAAAAATAAGGGGTTGTTGTAACATTTACCTTTCAGTGTATAGGAGAAAATTTACTTTCAATAGCCTGTATTTGGTGGCACTTCTGGATCAGCAGTTGATTGCACAATTCACTATATGTACAATACAAGAGTATACTATGTGCTCTTTTAGCATTTACTGGTCTTCACTGTAAGGATCCTATTTTTCAATCTGAGTGCACACCATTTTGCACTTTCTTGAGGGATAATCTAGTCACATTTAATTCTAGTGAATAAATAGACCAAATTTGATATAACGATTTAGGAAATCTCATGACAGAGGCATAAAACACCCACTTCTTAGAAAGGTTATCTCCTAGTATTCTCCACTCCTGATAGATCTGTAGGCCTTCCGTACATTAATGTTCAAATAACACTTCCAGTTAAGTTATTCACTGTTCAGTCTGGTGGGTGATGTGCTTTGTAAAAATGACAAATCAGAGTAATTTTCTTAATTTATGTTATGAAATGTGCACAGTGGGGTTTTCATCTTTGATTCCGTATGTCATCTCAAGTGATTTTGCTTTAAGAAGTGATCTGCACATTATTTTGTGCTGACAAACTAACTTATGAAGCAATGATACGTAATTTAAAAAAAAAATAGTTATGTAGATTAATAGTTAACATTCATATAGGAAATTCACTACATTAAATTACTGGAAATTATAATAAACTAAGTTTTTCACACTGTGTTGTTTTGAAACATCAATACACTATTGAAGATTGCTGACTAATGTAAGGTTAAATTTTGGTTTAACAAGAATTGTTTGTCATTTCACTATTTACAAATGGTTTTGCATACACATTGGCACCTTTGCTCAGCAAACATGCAAAGCAAACCAACATGTTCTTAACTCATAAAAAGCATTTTGACACTTCCTACCAATTCTCTTTATGTATATATACACATATATATGCATTATCACAAATGAAAGTGGTAGTTTTCTAAAATCAGCCCCATATTTCTGAAGTTTGCTATTTCTATACATGAGACTTCCAATGTCCCCTTCTTTAGAGGGACGCCCAACTTCAAGCCAGCTTTGAGGTTTTTCCTGCTGAAGTTTGAGACAGCTACTTTCTTGTCAGGCGAGCCCAGAACCTCCAGCATTGCGTAGGGAATGGCTCACTCCTGCAGAAAATATCTATCCCAAAAGCCTTTTAATCATTGTCAGAAGGAGCTTTAAGTCATTCCCCCTGACCTGTGCACCATGTATAATTAGTCCTTCACCTCTGTTCTTCATGGTGCTGCTGTAGATACGAAGCAATGCCCCAGTTGGAGCATTTCCCACCAGCACCAAGCAATGGAAGGAGGCACAAGAGGAGCTGGCTAGTGCCTGGCCCCTGAGTTAGCCACACTACTGCTTCTCAAGACCCATATCTGCTATTTGGTAGCTTATACAGAACTGGACATACAGCAGTTGCTTTCTGGGACTCAGCCTAGAGGGTTCCTGTCTCTGGTGGGAGTAGGGGGACTCCTGGAGTCTGGGTGGCAGAGTGGCATTCGAGCACATGGACACGTGGGGTAGGGAGGGCAGGGGAATCAGGGCACACGCATTCCCTGCTCAAGACAGAGAGAGGGGAAGCACCTTTGCTGTCCTCAATCATGGACAAAGATAGGTCTTTATACCCAGTGACCAGAGAAGACCACACTCAAAGCCAGATGCTCTGCAATTCCCTACATAACTGCTTAAGACTTGGTGAATGGACAGGCCATTCTTTGCTCTGAAACTGTGAATTAAAAGCCTTGAACTTGCTGAACGTCCTGGTATGAATTTGCATCTTTGTATGAACTCTTTGAAAGCAGTCAATTCTGTAAATATCACTGCGACATTGCCTCCTCAGCTCAGGTTTTTGGTGTGTTCCCAAAGAAAGGTGCTGACTGCTTTCCAGCGCTACTTCTGCTTTCTGATGGCTTTGCATGAAGCAGGTAACAAAACCTTCAGTTCTGCATAATGCTTACTGTTGCATCACTCTGTATTCCAGTTTTTATCAGTAAATAACTCCCAGCACAGCAGTCAGGAAAAAAATAGGGGGTTCTTGTAACATTTACCTTACCTGTATAGAAGAAAATTTACTTTCAATAGCCTGTATTGTGGCACTTCTGGATCAGCAGTTGATTGCACAATTCACTATATGTACAATACAAGAGTATACTATGTGCTCTTTTAGCATTTACTGGTCTTCACTGTAAGGATCCTATTTTTCAATCTGAGTGCACACCATTTTGCACTTTCTTGAGGGATAATCTAGTCACATTTAATTCTAGTGAATAAATAGACCAAATTTGATATAACGATTTAGGAAATCTCATGACAGAGGCATAAAACACCCACTTCTTAGAAAGGTTATCTCCTAGTATTCTCCACTCCTGATAGATCTGTAGGCCTTCCGTACATTAATGTTCAAATAACACTTCCAGTTAAGTTATTCACTGTTCAGTCTGGTGGGTGATGTGCTTTGTAAAAATGACAAATCAGAGTAATTTTCTTAATTTATGTTATGAAATGTGCACAGTGGGGTTTTCATCTTTGATTCCGTATGTCATCTCAAGTGATTTTGCTTTAAGAAGTGATCTGCACATTATTTTGTGCTGACAAACTAACTTATGAAGCAATGATACGTAATTTAAAAAAAAAATAGTTATGTAGATTAATAGTTAACATTCATATAGGAAATTCACTACATTAAATTACTGGAAATTATAATAAACTAAGTTTTTCACACTGTGTTGTTTTGAAACATCAATACACTATTGAAGATTGCTGACTAATGTAAGGTTAAATTTTGGTTTAACAAGAATTGTTTGTCATTTCACTATTTACAAATGGTTTTGCATACACATTGGCACCTTTGCTCAGCAAACATGCAAAGCAAACCAACATGTTCTTAACTCATAAAAAGCATTTTGACACTTCCTACCAATTCTCTTTATGTATATATACACATATATATGCATTATCACAAATGAAAGTGGTAGTTTTCTAAAATCAGCCCCATATTTCTGAAGTTTGCTATTTCTATACATGAGACTTCCAATGTCCCCTCCTTTAGAGGGACGCCCAACTTCAAGCCAGCTTTGAGGTTTTTCCTGCTGAAGTTTGAGACAGCTACTTTCTTGTCAGGCGAGCCCAGAACCTCCAGCATTGCGTAGGGAATGGCTCACTCCTGCAGAAAATATCTATCCCAAAAGCCTTTTAATCATTGTCAGAAGGAGCTTTAAGTCATTCTCCCTGACCTGTGCACCATGTATGACTTAGTCCTTCACCTCTGTTCTTCATGGTGCTGCTGTAGATACGAAGCAATGCCCCAGTTGGAGCATTTCCCACCAGCACCAAGCAATGGAAGGAGGCACAAGAGGAGCTGGGTAGTGCCTGGCCCCTGAGTTAGCCACACTACTGCTTCTCAAGAGCCATCTCTGCTATTTGGTAGCTTATACAGACCTGGACATACAGCAGCTGCTTTCTGGGACTCAGCCTAGAGGGTTCCTGTCTCTGGTGGGAGTAGGGGGACTCCTGGAGTCTGGGTGGCAGAGTGGCATTCGAGCACATGGACACGTGGGGTAGGGAGGGCAGGGGAATCAGGGCACACGCATTCCCTGCTCAAGACAGAGAGAGGGGAAGCACCTTTGCTGTCCTCAATCATGGACAAAGATAGGTCTTTATACCCAGTGACCAGAGAAGACCACACTCAAAGCCAGATGCTCTGCAATTCCCTACATAACTGCTTAAGACTTGGTGAATGGACAGGCCATTCTTTGCTCTGAAACTGTGAATTAAAAGCCTTGAACTTGCTGAACGTCCTGGTATGAATTAGAACAGAACCAATTTCAGTAATTTTACTTTTCGGTTAAGGCTCTTCGAACTAACTGCACTTTCTGGAATTAATTAACAGCATATTCTTCAGATAGTGTCTGCTTCCAGAGTGATGGCATTTGATGTTTATAGCATGTGGAGAGGCTCCTGCCTATACTTATTGCTATAACAGCCAAGGTCAGCTAACTGTTTGTGCCCTGTTAGAGGGCTGGTACCAGTGCCTGTACAGTGCTATGGCATTGACAGTTGTGCCAAACCAGTACTCAGCACAAGGAGGTGATTTTAAAAAAAGGGACACACATGTATAAATAAGTATTTAAGAACACACCAGACACTGTTGATGCTACAAAAATATCTCAGGAACATATCCCAGGAACCTGAAGTAGAGCCTCTGTGTTAAAATATGCTCTGCAGTGCTCCTTCTTGCTCCTTTCCTTAGTTATGACAAAACACCAGTCAAAGGGATGCCCAGTCCTCAGAGCCTGGAAACTTGCCTGAGAGATCATTGAAAGGAAAGGCTCCTGCAGCCTTTCCCTAGACTAGGTCCATTTTGAGATGCAAAATGAAGGGGATGTGAGCTTGAAGAGTTTTGTCGAGGGTCTCTTGGCACTGTTTTGACTCTAATCTCACAGCCTTAATGCCAAAGGAGGGTTTGTAGATGACGAGGTCACCATAGCTGTCAAAGACTAGGGAGCAGCAGGTGTGCTGTGCCCCTGTCCTGAACGTTCTGATTCAGGTAAACCAAAGGTTCTACCAAATAGCAGAAGTAGAATCATAGAATGGTTAGATTTGAAGGGACCTTAAGGATCACCAAGTTCCAACCCCCCTGCCATGGGTAGGGACATCTCCCACTAGACCACGTTGCTCAAAGCGTCATCCAGCCTGGTCTTGAACACTTCCAGGGATCACAGAATCACAGAATCTTCTAGGTTGGAAGGGACCTTAAAGATCATCTTTTCCAACTGTCAACCTAACTGACAAAAAAAGACACCCACACAACAAACAAGGAGCATCATCACTAAACCATACCTCCCAGCACTACATCAACCCGTCTTTTGAACACCTCCAGGGATGGTGCCTCAACCACCTCCCTGGGCAGCCCATTCCAATGGCTGAATGTAGTGGTCTAGAGAGAAGACCAAGGATGATTAAAGGTATGGACTGGCTTCCCTAGGAGGGAAGGTTGAATAAATGAGTGCTTTACAGCTTGGAAAAGAGATACTGAATGAAAGGCAGTAACGATAACCACTGTTTTTCCCCATAACACAAGAACATGTGGAAAATATAAAAAAAAATATATATGGCGAGTCTAAAACACAAGCAGATTTACTACAAGAAGGATCACAAGATCATTTAATTCTGCTTTTGACATTGTTAAATGCTCATGAAAGATGAGCCTCCTCGCTCCTGGAGAGATGTGACTCATTGCATGCTAAGGAAAGGAAGGAATCCAAATCTTAAGTTTTTAGATCAGTTTCATACCCATTAGGATATTAAAAAGAAAGATTCTCCTACAGTTGTGTCTTAGAAGGAAGTACCCACTGTTTGTTGTGAAAAACATAATCTTGAAAAGGCTGAAACCATGCTAACTCCTGAATCAAGTTTCGTGAAGGACTTGGATTGAATCCTAATCCAAACATCTCAGTTCTAAAACCAAATCTTTATATAAACATGAATTACACACTTTGCAGCTCAGAAGAACAGATCTTAATAGGCAGAAAGACAAAAAATTAGTCTTCAAGATACTTTTTGTATCTAAAAACACTGCCACCTTTGAAGGTAAAAGCAAGTGAAGGTGAGATAAGTGGCAAGATGAGAATGGTGTCTCTGTCATGTAGGAGTTTAGACAGTATCCCTCTCATATGTATTCTAAATACTCAGAAGAGCTAAGTAAGACATTTTCTAACAGAACCAAGAAACTGTGAATCACATTGGAAAAGGAGAGCAGGCAATTCGTTACTGAAGCTACTAATTTTCTTTGTAAATGAATCACTCAGTCCGTCACCATAATGGTTGTCATATCCAGATTAATCTTTCATTTAAATTTCCAGAACTCTGCAGACCTCACCCGGGATATAAATCTCATCTCTGTTTCTGATGATCACTCAGCTTTAGCCAAGTAGAATCCTTTTCATTCCTACAGAAAAGACTGACAAGCCAGGACCACGGTCAATGCAATAGAGCACTGCTGGCAGACAGGAGACCACCCAATAACCATTGATAAGGACATACAGAACAGCCACAGGTAGAAGTGATGTTCTCTTTTTTTCACCTCCCAAAATCAGTGGATTAAAATCAGAGAATCACTTAGCAGATAGCTGTGTCCATGAGAGCAATCCCAAAGAATAACTACAAATGCATATAAAAATGTACCAGTTGTAGAGCATCTTTGCTACTTCCTGTTCAACTTTCCCTGTTCCAAATGGTTATAAATCCATCACTCACTGCATTTATCTGGCCAGTCTCATTCTCTCCTGTGTCTACTACTCTCTTCTTGCTGTAGGAGGTAAGAAGCAACACACATGGGCAATATTGCTGCTCTGTGTCAGCTTTGTATTAATCACAGTCAGCCTGGGAAAGACTGAAGTACCAGCAGAAAGCTACTATTCCATATATATTTGTCACTGTAACAAATACCATTAGTTGTATTTGCCATATCATTTTGCATAACGTACTTAAGACTATCTTATCACTAAGACTAATGTGACGCTTTACAGGACATAACCACCACCAAAAGCACACCAAAGGCTTTTGTACTAAATCATATTTCTTTTTCTTATCTCTTTTTTTAATTGACAAATTAACAACAGATACCTAAGTTTTTGAAAATACAACTTATCTTTCCTCGTATCGTCTCCTGGTCAGAGCAAGCCGGTTTCTGAAGGGCAGAGGAGTGAAATCAGGCTGTAATTCCTTCTGCAGACGTTTGCTCCCATTCCTGGCTCAAGAGGCAATGAGCTGCTTTCAGCCCGTGAAGGCAATTAACAGCCACCTGGGCTGTGCAAACACTTGCAACTGATAATCACAATTAGTTCTCACTCCCTTGCCTTGAGAAGACTTGCCTGCTGTTGACTCCTGCCATCCAACACTTCGCAAGATCCTTGCGTTCCCCCTTTTTTAGGGTTCCAGCAGGTTGTGACTCACTGTTTGAGAAACACCCCTCCATAGATGATAAATTTTCAAGCAATATTATCATCATTGCTGTGACTATATGCTAATTGTAGCAGGAATGTGCTCCCCAGCACGGGCAGAAGGTAGAAATAAGTATGTAGCTGAATGTGAGGAAACTTTTGCTGTCGAGTAAAACCAAAACGCTGTTAAATAGAGAAGGGATGTGGACACGGTTGTCAAATTTCACCAGCACAGGCAGAAGGTAGAAATAAATATGTAGCTGAATGTGAGGAAGCTTTTGCTGTCGAGTAAAACCAAAACATTATAGAGAAGGGATGTGGACACGGTTGTCAAATGAGAGCTTGTAGATAACATCTCTTCTACAGATCCAGGTGACAAATTCATTTACCTTGTTTAGTGGCTTTGTGTAATGATGTGCTGATATGGTTTAGTGATGGTTTCTGTTGGTGGTTGGACTCAATGATCTGAAAGGTCCCTTCCAACTTAGGCAATTCTATGATTCTATGGATACTCTGCCTTAGGAAAATGCTGTCCAATGACAGCTTGTAGATAACATCTCTTCTACAGATCCAGGTGACAAATTCATTTACATTGTTTAGTGGCTTTGTGTAATGATGTGCTGATATGGTTTAGTGATGGTTTCTGTTGGTGGTTGGACTCAATGATCTGAAAGGTCCCTTCCAACTTAGGCAATTCTATGATTCTATGGATACTCTGCCTTAGGAAAATGCTGTCCCTGGCATTAGGGTTACCACCACTGTCACTCCAGAAATCTGTGTAGCAGTAGGATGGCATTACCCAACAGACACAGGCTCAGTACTTGTCACTGGGTACTTACTTTCTGGCAGCTCTCGATGAATTCGTCTATGGTCACTACTCCGTCTTTGTTTTTGTCCATTTTCTGTTCGGAAAGAATAAGAATGTATGTTTATCCTCCTGAAATACTGTGTAAAAATAGTCATTTTTATTATGCATTTCAGCTAGGTGTCAGCCTAGGAACAACTAGGCCAAAATGCTGTAAAGAAGTAGTAATTGATATACCAGAATAAGCTTAAGGAGCTTAAAAAGTCCTTTTTATTATGCATTTCAGCTATGTGTCAGCCTAGGAACAACTAGGCCCAAATGCTGTAAAGAAGTAGTAAGTGATATACCAGAATAAGCTTAAGGAGCTTATTGTTGAAAAAGCAAGGTGTAACGAGTAGATCTGAGAAACTTGGGATGGAACCACAAGAGAAGAGAAGAAAAAGGATTACAAAACTGGTAGGATATGCAAAACTGTTACAATAATGAAAATTTTTTCATACCTGCTCCCAGAGCAGCCTTTTTGGCTCCGTATATTACCCGACCCACCTGGAAAAACGTTTCCACATGTTGTCTAGGCGCATCCTCCTTGAGAACAGGATAGGTGCATTTTCCCATCATATCATATATTGCTTTCATGATATCAAGCATTTCCTGAAGAGATTAAAAAAAAAGTCTGTGTAATATGAGTGCTTTGTAGACACTGCTCTGACTCTGAACACATAAATGATTTTTAGGATTTACATTTTAGAATAAAATTTGAGATTGTGCCTGTTATTTCATGACTGAACAGCTTCAGGAAGGAACTACTATGTTCCTAGAAATTCTAGCATGTTAGTTCAGCTTTCAGAGATAAACTTGTTAAATGGATGCAGATGTATGATTTTGATTTTAAATGATTTAGAATGTGTGCAAGTTCATGGATTGTCGGAGGAATCTCCTGAGGTCTTGTGAATAAAACTAAACAGGAAAAGAAGTTCTGTAACAGCAAGTGAAGGGTCAAAACACATCAGCTTCTCACAACTGAGTTTTCCCTGAAGAAAATAGAAACACCCATGCACACACCTGCACATATGCAAAGACTCCTCCTTTTATAACAAAAGCTTTGAATTTTGTTAACAGAGTGCCTTATGAAAACTCTAAGAAGCATTATAAAAGGCATTTGCCAGTATGCTGAGAAATTATTCTATAGCTCACCTTCTTCTGTAATCACAAAGTATTCTTCTAAAGTATAAAATTATAAATGTCATATATATATTTATATAAAGACCCAATTTTGAAAAACTATTTTTTTTTATGAAGGCACTCATTAGGTCCTGCTGTAATTTAAGTGTGTGTTTAAATCCTTGCAGAGTGAAAGATGTAGGAATCTTTTTATATAAATTCTGTTTCAAGAAAAGATTTTTAGAAGTAGTTTTATAAAATGGGTAACACTTGTGTCCAACTTAATTCTTTTTTGTCCAAATATCCTACTGAACTACTTTGTTCTACTGACTGTATGTGCCCTTTTCAATTTTTATATATACCTTTAAAATGAGAAAATTACCTTATTTTTTTTAGCATATTGGTTTCGTAATATATGTTTATTTGTTAACGTGTCTAATTTGAGAATGAAGCCAATCTTCTCTGGACTTATATATACAACCTTTAGTTTCAGTGATTAGTGTAAAAAGTAGACCTTACCTCCTTAGTTATATATCCATCCTTATTTATATCATACAAATTGAAAGCCCAGTTCAGTTTCTCCTGTACTGTCCCTCGGAGTAAAATTGAGAGACCCATAACAAAATCCTAAATAGACAAAAGGTCTTGGTCAGTTTGGAATTAAGCAGTTTTTCCCAAACATTCAGAAATCCAGAATAATGCATTCATCAGAAATACGGAAGTCTTGAAGTTTTGTTTCTATTTCTTTTGCTTCATAGTAAGTGTTAAAGATTGCTGGTTATTTAAATAATTAAACATCTAGGCAGTGTATGCTACACTCATAATTAATAAGTAAATTGAGTAATTTTCAATAAAATAAGCCATAATTTTCTGTTTGTGGATTTATCCTCTGAAATGCCTCACATAAGCAGTTGCTGTTGAACCAGGGAAAAGCAATCCTCACAGCTTAATGGTCCAAAAAAAGAGCTTAAGTGGGAGTTAAATTAATCTAAGCACAGGAGACCAATTTTGGGAGAACTATCTACTAAGGAACATTAAATTCTTGTTAAATCTCTACATTGTTGGAAATGGAATAAGTGGTTCCCAGACCTCTTAGATCAATCTGTGCAGTCAACATTTGAATATTCGTGTATGCTACAGTACACCTTAAGACTTAAACCTTTTATTGGAAATATCATAGGGAATAATATTTGCTATGTATCCATGTGCCACCTTAATGGTTTTGTGACCCGCCAGTGGTCTATTGCTGTAAAGCTATTCCAAAGAAATAAATCAGAAGACTTTTGAGATTTTTTTATATATAGTATTTGGTTACAGATTTTTGTTTCATAATTAATACTCTTTTGACAGCACAAACCTCCTTTGCATTTAGTGGGCATCTTCCAGATTGGAGAAAATATCAACTGGGATGTGTCATCACCTGTCTTCTGTATTTCTTAGCATGTTAACTTTCATGTTAACTTTTTTTAAACAGTGGCTTTTTTTTTTCCTAACTCTCTCCTCCATCTTTTTCTATTTGATAAGCTTGTAGAGCCATAAATCTGTGACATTGTCGCCATAATATGTTGAGCAACATATGCAAGAGCTTATATTTGAATGTGCACCTCTCCATCGTTGGCAAAAAGACATACAGGATGTCTTAGAGTAACATTAAAGCACATAAAGTATTTCTTAGCAGCAGTTTATGCATTTCCTTAAAAGAGGAGCACTGGAAAAGACTGCACTGGGGTTAGACATAAAGTTCTGATGTACCACACAGTCAAATGAGTACGCCCGATGAGGTGAAGCCTACACAGATATCATGGCCTCAGACTGGCTAGTAGTCCTAGCTCTTTTGACAGATTCAGACTTTTTAACGATTCAAGTGGTACGCTCTGGGTTTTCTTAGTCTGCCATAAATTTATGTCTTACTGGTAAATGTGCCCTTTGGGGTAAATGGATACATGAATCTTGAAAGAGTTTTGCTCAGCTTGTCTTGTCTGCATCTCAATGACTAATTGAGGGTCACAGGGTTAAATCTCCAAACAGCTCTTTAACAATGTACTATTAAGTATTAAAATGTTCAAGAAATTCAGAACAGATTTGATCACATTACGGCACTAGCAATTAACCTTTTTAATTCAGTACCATTTCTTCACATCTTTTCTGCACTGTTCTACGTTCTTGATGCAGCCTTTCCCGAAGGCTTTTGCAAAGGTCTCCAATAACTTTATTTTCTTAGAGTATTACATTTCAGGACTCTGAATTTATTTTTAATTTGGCGCCAGCAATATTTTTGCATTTTTTTCTATCTAAATCATATATCTATATTTCTTTCCCTGATTATTTCTCTCGCCTCCTGTCTTTGATGTACTGCCCATATGTTATCTGGCTCCCTGGCACCATTTATATCCCCATTTACAAGGCTGCCCTTCTATCATCGGTGTTAAAAACCACACATCAAAAAAAATTGACTTTATGCTGTTTTGCATAGGACTGAATGTCCACATAAAAGCTGTGACAACTCAAAACCTTCCAGATGTGTGCTCTAAACTCTGCAAGAGCAGGTCATCTCCTATATTGCATCAACATGCTTGGGAATCATATGTAGATCAGCTGCATTGCCTTCATCTGAGTGTTGTGCAGGAGTCCATCTCAGGAACAATAGACTCAGGGACTTGTCATAAAAGAAAGTTGTGATGAGCAGAATAAGAAGCAGTTAGGATGGGATGGTTTTTTTACATGCTTACGTAGGTACAATTGAAGAATACAGCAATAAAATCACAGAGAAGTGAAAAAATCTGATTCAATGGAGATAGGCTAAATCCACAGAGTATTTTGGGCCAGATCCTCAAAGAGAAATAGGCTCTGCATGGTGAAAGGCGATACGTGTGTCAGGAGCAGTATTGCTATGACAGCTGTTAAACCAATAACCCAGTGCAGAAAGCCATCGTAAAGCACCATAAGTGCTTTAAAGCACCATAAAGTATGTAGCAGCTAAGCCCAGAGAACGCCTGTCTACATCCTTGTTACCAACAACTCAGTGATGCATGAATCAGGCACACCTTTAGCTCGAAGCATGAACCCAAGACCTCCTTACAGTATTAAAGTACCCAGATGCGTTTTCCTTTCTGGTTTAGACAACTGATTTCTGTGGGGAGAGGGATTCGACTTTTAGAGCCTATTTATTTTTGAAGCAAGATGCACACTACTGCTTGGACATTTACATCACACTTGGACACAGGTGCGTCTGATTTAAGGTTACAAAGGAGCCTACAGAACTCTAGGTCAGGTCAGGTCTCTCTTCAGTCTGTGACAGAGAAGTTAGAAGCAGAGAAGCCCATGATTTAGGCCTTTGGTACTTTTGTAATCCTTTCCACAGCTTCGTGAGTGTGCTAGCACCTGTGAAGACCTCCATTAAACACCAAACTCTCCTGTGCCTAACTTTGATTCTGCAAAAAAAGGGAGATGTCTCACTGAAGGCCTGCAAAATGCAGCATCACTGAACCTGTACTGGAGATGCTGTCCCCGCAGTATCACGGCCTGCTCACCTCTCAGCTCTGCACTACAACTGGATAGAGCTTCTGCTTGTCATCTGGGATTAACTCGTATTTGATTTTTATTCCAGCAGTGATTAATTATCTCTTAGCAAGCTTGTTGATGACTTTCTGATTGCTTCATCCCTCGGTAAATCTTTGGGGAGAATTAGTTCATTAATAAATTAATTAACAATCTTAATAGTGTGCTGTCTCAAATCCATAGGAAAGCTTAAAATTATTCCACCTGATGTGGAACACCTCATGTGTTCCTTTATATCTTGTTCAAGGCCAGAGGAAGTAGGAAAGAAAGGCACCTAAATCCATTTTCATATTTAGCCCTTAGGTTTTGGAAAGGAACCAAGTGATGATTTTATTCAGAGAAGGCAGAGCCCTGGTGCACCTGAAACAAAGATCACTGAGGAGGAGCTGCTGTTAAGAGGAAATACATTTCTTTGTAGCTATTTTACACCCGCTGGTAATAAAATGCTTATAAAATTACCACTGTCCTGAGAAAAATTAGCTCATTTCCTCCTACATGACACAAACGAGACTTTCTGTGTTGAACACCGAATCACACTTGGATACATCCATTAAACTGCTACCCTTATATTACTGCCTTGGAGACAAGGACTGTTTATCACTGTTGACAGTGAAATACCAAAGTTGTGTTTGATCTTAAGATCTGGACTCTCCTATAGAACTGAGTTAACATGTTTGTTAACTTATTAAGTGATGCAAAATTCTCAGGTAACAATTGAGGAATAAAGCAATCAGAAAACCACCAACAACTTTGCTAAGAATTATTAATCATTTTTTTGAGAAATAAATACAAGTTTGTTTTTTATTAAAAAGGACAAAACATCTCCATTGCATTTGGGCACAGCTCTGTACTTTAGGGCACTGAGAATTAGCGGGATTACTGAGTGACTTTCCTCTCATGAAGATCACGTTTAGAATAGCTGCCTGCATCTACATCTCCATCTACAACAAAGTAAGGACACTGATTTGAATATTTGCGTAGGGGTGCAATGTGCTTTACCTTTGACTCTATGTCTGAAGTTAATTAACCTCAATTTTCCTGACTCTGTAAATAGCCTTGAGGCCCAGATCTTCATTTTTGTTCAGTTACAATACTCAGGCAGCAAGTGGAAACCTTGCTTTCACGCCTGTCTCTCTCTGATGGAAAAAAGAACTTGAGTTCACTGATGTGCCAAAGGAGCCCTTCAATAGCGGGGTCACTAGGTTTTCTGAAACTCTGTCCCTCATGTTAAAGCAAAGCTAGTTGGCATAACTAATAAAATAATTTAGTCTCAAAATTGAAGCAATCTTGGGATAAGGAGAGACAGATAGGTTCAAGCAGCAAGTTTTGTGTTTTTGTGCTACATAAAATGCCTCATTTGGAGATCCTGGCTTTTATCAGAAAGTACACAGATTTAAGGATGACAAAACTCTTAAGGACGCAGCAATCTCACCAAGCAATCTCATCCAATGGAGGTGTGCATTTAAGTTGTGCTAAAGTCTAACACTTCATTGACGGTTGAAAATTTGAGGAAAAAGGAGCCAAAAGCTATAACAAATTCTCTCTTTCTTCTTCCCCACAACTCCAGCTACCATTGCTTCATTAGAAAAAGGAGAGTGCAACACAAAAAATATCATTCTTACCTACATTCTTTCAGATTTTTCTATCCTTTTTTACATAGAAAAGAGCTGAAGAGTGTTTTCATGAAAGGTCATTACATTAAATTTTATTTACTCCTACACTTTTATACACTTTTATTTACTCCTGTACAGTTTTATATAGGAAGTAAATTGGGATGAATGTTTATTTTATTCTCCAAATGTTTAAATTAAAACCTCCTTTTTCTCCACTTTTTTTTGGGGTTTTTTTATCCCTAATGGAAATTAGAAAACTATAGTATGAATTGGTATAGAAAGAGTTTGGCACAGTTGCACCTAGGATAAAAAGGAGCAGGAAAAAAAGACATTATTGTATTTTTCACATTTTACAATATCTACTTTCATATTTTGCGGCTACTTTCTCATGATTAGAATAAACCCTGAACATTTTTAACTCAAGGAGGATGCTTTTAGAACAGCTATCATACAGTTTGCAAGTGTGCTTTGGTGGGCACCTGGTGTCCAGCCAGGTTCAACCCATCACAGTGATATCAGCCTTTGCAGATGATGACATCGGCCTTAACAGGGAAAGGCAGAATTTTGAAAACAGGCTGAGCAGTTAAATGAAGGAAAAATTTCAAACACTTTTGCTTTTAAATGCATTTGCTTTAAAACCTCTTTTTGTAGAGCCTTCTCCTGGAAACTAAGAGTGTGAGCAATCCTATTTGGCTGAGTCATTCCCACATCACTAGCTGTAGTTCAGAGTCCTTCTCACCTTGCAGAGGCAGGAAGGAAGATAAGGATTATTTAATATAACTTGCATATAAATTGGGTTACCTTTTAAATGAACAGATTTATAAAAAAGTTACATAGCAACACAGTCTGAGTTACCATTTTGGGATATACAACTGTAAAATAATTATGAATTCCATTAATACATTGGAAAAACTTGAAACTTGAGTCAAGCTAAATTTTTCATAAAGTGAGCCATATAAAAAAAGCAATCAAACTAGACTTAAGTATAAGGAATGGCAAAAATATTCAATTGCAGAGGAAGAAGTAACAGCATCACTTACCTCAAAACTTACAGATCCGTTGTGATCAGTGTCAAATGCGTTAAACAGAAAATGTGCATAAGTTGTGGAATCTACAATTTAAAACAGTAAAAATAATTAATGGTGAGCACATCTTAATTTAGTTTCTCTCCCTGAAAAAAAATGATACCGAGATATATTTTGATACCAAAATTTGATAGCAAGACTAAATTTTCAATTCAGTTTGGAATTAGGGACAGAAAATCTAAAATTCTAGTCTAGAATATTTTTATTCATTTTCATTACCATTTCTACTAATCACTCACATCTGAATAAATAGCAAAGAGGCCGTGTTATTGCGCTCTGAAACAACCTGTGTTAATGGGAATTAATCAGTTAAATCACTGCGACAGGGGATCTATCTTGTGTGTTAAAGAAGAAGAATATGTTCATTTGTTCCCTTTAAACGAGGGAAGCAGACACTACCATCTGTGCACCTGGCACATCGTTTTTACTCTGAAGACAGGCCTGTTACCCAGGTTGAAGATGCTCTTGTCAGAAAGCTGCAGCTGCACTCGGGTCCTATGCTCAGGTGAGATAAAATCCTGTCCAGAGAAGCAGATTCTAAGGCTGCTTTGCTGTTTAATTCCCAAGAACATCATACGAGAGCCGGGTGCTTAAAAACCTTGGAAAAACTGGCTGTGACCAACTGAAGTGGTCAATAAGACTCTGAGAGATGATCTTAAACAAGTGATCCCTTCACTAATTATTTGTATATTTTCAAACCCACTGACCAGCGCATATCGACTCATTTCAGAAACACAAGACAGCATGAATATAAATCTGTCAAGCCTCTAAGTTTTTTAAAGATCCATCTCTCCATTTCCAGTGAATGCCTTCTGAGAGGCACAGCCTGCTCCAGGAGTAATACACTGCGAAGAGAAGACTTCTCCAGAGTCTGCCCTGTTGATGTGAGGTACAAACTGCTGAGGTTTTGGGAAGTCAGCTTTCCTCAGTGTCTTCTCCCTCCCTCAAAACCACAAATTACTGTAGGCTGAGGTATTGTTTATTTTTAATACTCATTGCTTTGCTCTATTTCTTGTATTTACATTAATTTTAGGTCAATTAACATTAACCTCACACACTTTTAGTGATGGGAGAAGTGTTATGGAATCTGTGCTGAGGTGCCTTTTCTGATTTCTTGGTGCTAAACTATTTTAGTTTTCATATTAATCCTGAGAACATGTATTTGCCACAGCCCAAATTATTGTTTTGAATTAAACTGATAGTCTTGGGTCACTCACCTGAAATGCCACCTTGACTCCAAGAAACCAAATACACCAAAACTCAAAACCTTGTACTTCCCTGATATTAGTAAGTAAAGTTTCTGGTCTTACTCAATATGAGAAAAATCCCTCTGCAGCCTTTAAACCCTGTGTCTGTTTCAGAGAATTAAATACAAACAACCCACTATTGAGACATTTGTTCATTCATCCATGGCTTCAGTCATCAGTGTAATTGCTTAAGCATGGCCTAGCAGATAAATTCCCACTTTAACTGACAAATGTAAATTTGTTGACTTCAGTTTATAGTTAGGATTTTAATAGTCATATTTTCTATAACCTACTGACGCTTCTGTTGTACAACAGAATATACTATCCAAACCATTTTCAGGGAAAAAACATAATAGAGAGATATAGTTATTTTAAACTGAATTTTAAATACCTATTCTCTTGGCATTCATTTCTTAAAAACGTGAAATATTCCTAATTATTTTCTGTAGATTTACAGAAAATGCAAAGGCTAACACAAAGGTTTTTTGCAGTTTGTTGCCCACACATGATACAATATACTACTCTTTGTATGAAGTTATATGAAAGAAAAATCTCCAGTTGAATAATGTTTTATCTCTTGTAACCCCTGCTTAAAAAAAAAATAAAAATAAACCAGAGGTGTTTTTCAGGGATGTTTGTTTGGCAATTCCGGTCTGAACTTTTCCCTTCAAAACCACGTCAGGATGAGGTACGCTAGTCTTTTAATTAGAGCTACTTAATGTGCTTTCTCCCTGTCACAAATCCCTAAATCTTGAGCATTAATCATGTTAGACATAAGCTTAACTTCTTAAATAAAATATGTTTTCTTTTCAGGGATCGGATATAATATCTAGTAGGCTACATTGATATTTTGACAGGTTGAGACAGGAACAGATATTAGATCAGAATTCCTTTGAAATACACCATTAAACGAATTTAAACATCAGAGACAAAAAATGGGAGCAATTATACATCCCAGACTACGCTTTATCAAACCATGAACATAATCTGCTCGGTTCATAACTGAGGAGGAGTGTAATAATTATTCAGTGTCTGGATTCTTATCTACGACCTGCCTATTTCAGGTGATCCACTGCATGGACACAGGGGGCCTATTCATTTGCCTGCTAAAAAGATATAACTGGAGTGCCTCTCCAGCATGGAAAGCTTTTTACAAAGCTACTTCTGTCTTTCAAAATACATCTATTTTACTGCAGATCTGTGTCATCTTATTTGTTACTTTTACTGCAACTCCCTTATCTTCTTTCTACTGCTCCTGTCCCTTGTCCTGGATAGTCTTGAAAGTCTCTTGATGAAGTGATTTGCTGGGTGACATTGGAAAATGACCTTTTGGTGATTGTTTAATTACCCTGAAGCTTAAATTCTTACACAACTTCATTGTGTTTGCTCAGATATGAATTGTTACAATGATACATCATGTTGTATCTGGTTTTGCATCACATAGACAATCGGGGCACGGATCTACATGTACAACATATTTTAACGTGGGGATGATTTTCAAAGGTTTTTTTCACTCTTTAATATTCAGACATACATAAAACCAATCTTTTAAGCACAACTGAAATGTAAAGGCCTCAGCTGCACACTATATTTTGGCAATACATTTGAAAATACCTTGGCTAATGTGAGGAATAAAGAAATGACTTTGGCTCCCACACCTCTCAGAAAATGGCAAAAGTCAACACAGGCACCTACAAACCAGCACAAAACCTACACAAAACATTCCAAGTCACAGGGGATTCAAGGATTCAAGGATTCAATTCAAGGATTACTGATGTGAGCTGTTACTCCAAGGAGCCTCAGCTCTTCTGCTGTTTCCGATAAGTATTTTTCCTGACATTTTGAGGAATACTACATAAGGCTTTCATGTTTGTTTGTGCTGTCTTTACATACTGCTTAGGCTGCACACCATGGCAGGATGGGGAGAGGAAAGGGATAGCTTCTGATGGTCACTTCTCAGTGCTCTTCACTGAGATGGCTGAAATGGCTTTATTGGGAATGACAAAAATGCCATTAATAGTGCACAGCAACACCTGTTACTGGTAAGTGAATTATCCGGATTCAATACTTTTCTACCCTGCTAAAAATCTAATTTTTTACTGTATTTTACTGAAGCTAAAAGAAGCGAGAAGAAAAAGTGTAAATTTCTTTCAGAAAAGTGTGTGTCCCTTGTTGCAGAGTAATGGCATTGTTGAAATTGCAGCGAATAGTTGCGATATTGCCATTGCTATTAAGAAGCCACGAGTTTTAGAGGGAGCCTTCTGCAGGATGGAGGCCTGTCTACAGCATCTTTATTCATTTTAATTACCATTTCTAACAGAAAAAATATTTTTAAAAAGAAATATTAAGTGTAATAAAGGTGTAGTAAATCACATGCAAAGAATTATTTTCACTAGCCAGACTAACTAAAAAATATAAAGTCTGAAACTGCAATTGTTTCCCTTGTTTGAAAGCTCAGATACAGAAATAATCACTAGGCAGGTCAACTTTTTTAGCCTTTTGTTCTTCCCTACTGAGTGTGACTACTTGTTACAGATTTCAGTGATGGTAATCCACACTGAATGCTGCTCTTTACCATGTAGGTCTTTATTCAAAGCAAAACTTAATTGGGAGATGTTTTGTTCCTACCAATTAAATGTGTGTTTTTTTAAAATACAAGTGAAAAGAAAGAGGTAGGAACAGTCCCAGGGAAACATGCAAATCTCAAGAGCTGTAGGAGAAGATGAAGAGGCAGGATTGAAGAGCTATTGGAGAATATGAACAGAGAGGACTGAATAGTAAAAGCAAGAGGCAGAAAAGAGAGGAAAACAAAACTAAAAGAAAATCTAAGCTTCAAGGAAAAAATCTATTATATATTTTTTGTGTTACCTTCACTGCACCAAAAGATAATGAAGATAAACAAATTAATGAAACCCCTGGAAATTACTTTATTAAAAGTAAGGGTAGCAAAAAAGCCCTTGTTTAAGTAGAGAAACCCCATAGAAGTCAAGGGTGTTCTGCTATTGATATTAGAGGGTACCCCGAGTACCTCCTACAGTTTTCATTCCTACTGTGAAAGGTTTTGTGGACTAGAAGGGGATGGAGAAAACTATGTAGAAAGTTTGAAAGGAAACTTTCAAACTACTTAGACAAATGGGTTTTCAGAACTACCCATACACATGTGGTAACATCATAACAGGATACTGACTTCTTGTAGATATCATTGCATTTCATTCAGGAATATATACTTTATTATAATCAAATAAGTACCCCGTGACTTCAAACAGAGCTTGAGAGACAGCAATCTTTTTAATTTGAACAAAACAAGCTTTTTTGTCAGACTTATACACTAACAAACATAACTCTTTGTATATTGTAGTACTAATTACGTTTGCCAAGTACTCACCTCCCTGTGGAAAGAACTGAGAGTAAATCTCTTTGAAGGTTTCTTCATTGACAACACCACTGGGACATTCCTGAAAAAAGTGAAAGACAAGAAAATGAAGAGCATCTAATCTGGTTGAGTCAAATCATGTGTTCGTGAGACCACACAGAACATGTATGTGATTCTGAGTTTAACATGTCTGATTTTGCACTTTCAACCAAATATTAATGGATTAAATGTGTATCACTTTGAAGTATCTTCCTAAAGAGTTTCCATGGCACAAAAATTTCTTCTGTGCCATATATCTAAACTTCAATCTTGGGACCAGAGTGACAGACGTGAGCACTAACCACTCTGCTGCAGCGCATGGAGCTATCGGTGTCACTGTGGGCCATGGGTGGTCGCTACCACGGCCACTAGCAGCACTTGACCAAGCAGGAATGTGAACTGCATTTACACTGGTGAGGCCCCACCTCGAATACTGTGTTCAGTTTTGGGTCCCTTGCTACGAGAAAGACACTCTGGAGCGAGTCCAGAGAAGGGCAATGAAGCTGGTGAGGGGTCTGGAGAACAAGTCTTATGAGGAGTGGTTGAGGGACCTGGGATCATTCAGCCTGGAGAAAAGGAGGCTGAGGAAAGACCTTATTGGTCTCTGCAACTACCTGAAAGGAGGCTCTAGCAAGGTGGGTGTCGGTCTGTTGTCCCAAGTAACAAGTGATTGAACGAGAGGAAATGGCCTCAAGTTGCACCAGGGGAGGTTTAGAATTGGTATTAGGAAAAATGTCTTCTCAGAAAGGGTTATCAAACATTGGAACAGGCTGCCCAGGGAAGTGGGGGAATTGCCATCCCTGGAAGTATTTAAAAGACAGGTAGACATGGTAGCTAGAAACATGGTTAAGTGGTGGTTTTGGCAGTGTTAGGTTAATGGTTGGACTTGATGAACTTAAAGGTCCCTACCAACCAAAACAATTCTATGATTCTACAATTCTATGATTAATGATACAACATGCAATCATATTCTACCTGAAAAACTATATTCCATTAACTCAAAAGATCCTGCCACAGATGATCTTATTCAAACCTTGCAGATCCTTCTGTGGCTTTACACCTTGTTCATAAACTGAAATATGCAAGAAAGAAAAAGCAGAAAGTGTCAGAGAAGGGAGAATATAGAGAATACAAAAGGAAATTAAGGAGAAGAAAAAAGAGGATTAGAGCAGTGACTTTACAAAAATGGAGAGAGGTAGGAAAAGTAGGAGCACTGTATTGCTTATTAAGTCACACACAGAAATCAAAGACCAGACAGGTGACTTCTAGCCCTGAATTTGCCAGACTGAGCAGCTGGCTTTGGGCAATGCACTTAATTTCTTTTTGCCTTAATTCCTTCTTTAACACAAAGGGTGAAAAAAGCCTGGCAAGCTCTTGAAATAAAGGTAAGACAGACAAGACAAATACATTTATTTTTGTCCACTGCTATGCTATTTGGACTGATGGGTCAAACCTAAGTGCTCCTAGTCCTAAACTGGAGAAAGGAAATAGCTTTAAATGAAGATAAAGAACAGTGTAACATCTTTTACCAGTGTAATAACAGCTTTTCCTGTGAGAGCAAATGATATATCTATTAGATCAAATAAAGAACACTGAGATATAGTCTTAGCTTTTGCTAAGAAACAAATACTATAATCTTGCTAATTGAGAGATGAATGCACCACCTGAAAAATGCACGTCAGATCTGGTGTTCTAGGATTATTTTTATATCACTTATCCTCAACCCAAAGCAGCTCTTCACCATGACTAAGCACGTGCAAATACACAGCAGGAAACAATTCTGTTTGATGAGAACAGATAGACAAAGAGCGGGCACAGAGACAGAAGTACAAAATAATTTGTTCCCGGTCGCAGAGGCTGTCACTGATGGAGGCAGAATCAGAGCACAAGTCTCTGTCAGGCCAGATCTAGACTGACTGCTGGGCCATGCTGCTTTTCCAACCAAAGCCTTGGGGAACGGGGGGAACAGTGTAATGCATCTAGCATCCCTACCCTTCGTCAGGTTAGGAGCAATCTGTAAATGGAGGTCTCATCTCCCTGCCTGTCATGTCTTTGGGAGTAAGGGCATTCTAAAACGTCTCTGCTTTACAAGCTCTTGACTGTAGTCAGACAGTCTAGTGTCTCTGTGGTGCCCAGCAGGTTTGCTACACTGTTTGTCTTTAAATGTGAGGCCTTTTGGAGTTGTATAAGTACATGCAAAAGAGCAACATTTTCACTTGTATTATACTTTGCTTTACAGCAAAGGAAACATCAATGAAGTGTTCAGATGCTCATTGGTAATAACAATATAGTTATTCAGTGTAGAAAATATAACAAAGGTATTTCACAAGTTCCTCTTCCAAGAATACATTGATATATACTCTACATTATTCCCAGACCTGCTCAAGGAAGAATAATGCAACCTTCTCCCGGAGGCGAGTGGGAGCATGAAACGACAATGCGGTATTTTAGAATTTAGAAAAAGAAGCCATGGTTTCTTTCTGTTCTGCGCATAGCTTCTTTTCAGTCAAAAAGCTAGGCACATTTTCAGCAACCTAAAAAGAAAAGCTGTATATCTGAATTTGTACAACTCAGATTTTGCTTTTCTTTTATTTTTCTTTCTTTTTTTTTTTTTTTTAAGAAGCTTAATAAATAAGGAATGACAAAATGTGCATTTATGTTTGTGTAACCCTAAGGTTTATTAACATGTAAAGCAATCTTTCTACCTTTTCCTTGGATGAGAAAAATATATGCTAATTTGGCAAAGAGTCCTCTCCCCTTTGTTACAGGAAATGCCAGCGACGCCAACTATGTCAGTCTTTAGTCTGAAGCTGTGAAGAATAAGAATCCCATTTCCTGACTGCATTTAAATGTTATGACATTAGAGGAGAATCAAAGTTACCCTGGAAAAACTTGTCTACTTTATTCTTTTTGAGTTCAAAATAAGTTAGCAGCCTGCTTTTAGAAAAATACATGATCTACATACCTTACTTAAAGGTAGTACTTTTTTCTGTCACCTAACTCCAGTTTCACCATACTGTTTGAAAGAAACATTGCTTGAAAAGGTAACCTGCTTTCACAGAATTGCATATTAGTAGAGCCAGGAATGACCTCTTGAGTCTGTCTTGGCTGACTCTGCGTTTTCCTCTGCTCTTCACCAGAGCATTGTCAGGAACACCTTACCTTTTCCATCCTTGGAGATCTTTAGTCGTGGTATCGTAAGGACATTCACTAAAAATCTGTGATGCTGGCCAATTAATCTCCTCAGAAATATGAAGTTGAAACTTTTCTCTCTTTAGTTTGGATCTTTCCTCTGAGACTGTGAACAAGACTGTGAACATTTTGTTCTTAAATAATTTTAATCTAAATATATATGTAGCCAACATCATTTACCTCCAAGCCTGTTCTTTTCTTCACTCTTAAATCTGTTTTTATTGTGTTTATCAGGAGATTTCTCTAGTTCAGTGAAAGAGATTTAATATTGTAATTGTTAAGTATGTCTCATGGCTTTATATCAATTTATTGTTGACTTCTTCCTTTGTACTAAATGTAATTAAAAAAAATATCTTTCTAACCTTTCATTAAACCCTTATAAAAGAAAGAAAAAGAATAAAATAGTTTGAAAGAAAAATGTGAGGTTTATTAAAAACAACTTCCTATATTCTTTTTTCCTCCAGATGTATATAATTTGTTTTGTTACAGAAAATTTATTTGATAGTCTTTTATAATTGAATTAATGATGTATTATATTTTCCTTTTGAAGAATAAAAAGGAGGAAAAGTTCATCTTGAGCTGTTTTTCCTGAGTCCAGCCCTCTCTCCTTTAAAGAAAAAATAAGATAAACCGACAGAAAGAAGAGACAGAGAATAATAAATATCATTCTGCCTTTTGATGATCTCTCTTGCCTGCAGTTTTACTGCTGGGAAATTACACCTCCAGTACATGGTCTTATGAACCACTCCAAAACCTGTAAATTATTTACAAGCTTCGTGCTGTCTAAGCTGTCTTTTTTTCAGTATTTCTAAGGATACTGCAATAGGTGGATTCTTCTTTACTTCCTAATCAACAACCTTTTCAGACAAGAGGCAAACCCAAAAAGACACACAAAAAAAGAAGAAATAGTGAAATGTAGGAAAGAGAATGAAGGAGAAATAATGCAAATCTCAGGCTTTTGTGTAAATAATACACAATTTTGTATGATGGATTAAGCTGTAGTAGGAGCTTTGGCAATTTTAAATATATTTTAATTATGAGCTTTTGCATGACAGGTTCTTCATCCCATACTTTATCTGCTGTCAGCATTTGTTCTGCTTCATTTTAGATATATGTTCATGTCCATTGACTTAATTATCTCTGACTGACAATATATTTATCTTTTTCCGTGTATTTCTACTCTGACTGAAAGTGCAAATTTTCCATAAACACAAAACTTAATGGAAGAACACATACACAATTTTGAAATAGAATGCATATACTTTAAAGCTAATTCTATCAAAAATCCCACAACCTAAATCAACAGTGGGTTCCCCTAGCCCAGTCCAGTTCCTAATTTTTCATTTGAGTAAAATGGGGCTTTGATCTAAACAGCATGAGAATTTAACAAATCGCCTTGATTTAATAACATAATCTAGGCCAAACTGATAATGAAATCTGAGCCAACAGACACCTCATGAAGCTCAAAAAGAATTGTAATGTTCTGTGTCTGTGAACAAATCGTCCCTTGCCCCGGCACCAGCTGTGAAGTGAGTGGCTGAATGGCAGTGCTACTGACAAGGACGAGGGGTTCCAGTGGATGTCAAGCTGAGTATGAGCCAACAATGAATTCCTACAGAAAATAAGATAAACCACCTACTGAGCCAAGTAGTGCTCGGGACAGAAGAGTGTGGGTTAAAGACTTAAGAAAATAGTTTCTGAAGCTTACAATGCTTTCAGTCGTTAATACTTGTAAGGTTTACGACAATTAACTTTTAATTGTATGCACTCCCTGCTTCCAAAGCTGCATACCTAAGGTTGATTGAAATTTGCTATTTCTAATGTTCGTTCTGATGCATGTAATTGAAACATAGGCCTTCTTGTGAGTTTCATATTTGCAGAAAACCGAG